TAGGGGTATCAATAAACGCGGTGGATCAACAGTGAAAAAGCACATGAAGCGAGGCATAATCAAGTTTATACGAGAAAATAAAGCAGGGAAAAGCTGAGCTCATGACAGTATAATTCATATTCCAAGATAGCAAGTTCAAATAAGTTTATTAAAAAGTTTCCAAAATAAAATAATAATATGAAGTTTAAATATAGTACTTGTCGAGAATGGGTAAAGGAAGAGGAATTTTTTATTAGCAATTTAAAGGCGAACTCATGATACAAACCTCATTTTCAGTATAGCTATTAAATCCTGCCTCATCCTCATCGTTATCCCCGTCTATCGAAGCGGAGTCATCACCATCATCTTCTTCGTCCTCGAGATCATCCAGTTGGTTTTCATCAACATCATCCTCCTCATCTTCAACACTCTCATCACTCTCCTCCTCTGGTTCTTCTTCTTCACCATCGACAACAACTGGAGACTCACTGTCATCATTTCCACTCGGACGCTCGCTAATGTTTCCATCCTCCTCCATCTCACAGATGTCTATGTGGATAAAAAGCAAGGCAGAGACCCTTGAATAAAAAAGCTTTAAAGGAATGAAGAATAGTTAGGGTATAAAAAATGTATATATAATGACCATGATGGTGTTGCCGTTTGTTTGGTCGTAGCCTCTTGATCTATATAACAATGATATAATTACAATGTACTAATTACAGATCAAAGAAGAAAATAGAAAGTTTATCCTGTCACTTGATATTTATTAGCTGTTGAAATCATTACGGCATCCCACTTGATTTTTTTGGCAATTTGATAGGAAAGCACCATTTCGACAAGGTCAAGGGTATATTATATCAAACTTCTGCAAAAATAAAAAAAATAACAGAAGGGAAAAGTATTTAAATTTATCTATATTAAGTTAAGACTAAGGCATGAATTGAGTCGGATTCTCATTCCGGAGCATTACCTGAAACTAAAAATGAAAGATAAAATGTCGAAAATAATCTCAAGCATGATTAAAAAAAGGCACCATAGTGCTGAATAAATATAGGATGTATTGGAAACGCAAGGTAAGGCCAAAGGTAAAAAAAGATGTCTATATAATTATGAATATAACAATCCAGTCAAGAACTGAAGATATAGTAGTAAATCTATATTCCATATATCTTGATCTTGACGGTGATTATAAGGAAAAGAGTAAATTTTGCACTTCGGAATGAAGTGGCAATCAATAACAGATAAGTGGAGATGATATGAACTCTAAGAAGTTAATAGCAGAATCAAAGAGAGCTGGAAATGAAAATTATCCCAACAATCAAGGCACAGCAAGAACCCAGGACTAGGAACAATATAATCAACATATATAGGGAATTGAAAAAAAAAACAATCAAAAAGCCGACAATGTAAAAGTAGTGATGAACAAGGAATAAGCAAAAATGGAAAATATTCTCCAGTACAATACAAGTAAAATAACATCTCAGATAAGAAGGCGGTAAGCGCCTTGTTAGACATATTGAAGCGAGAAGAGGATATCCTAGAGGCAGAACTGATATAGGAATCATTAATATGATTGATCAACCTGACAGTAAGGACCACATATCTTAAATTTAACGGCAGAATATTTGGCCTAACGATGGGATCTCCACTCTTACCTCTTTTGGTAAATGCGAACATGGACAAGTTGGAAAGGGAATTAGAGAAGTCACCACTACAACTAAGAGTGCCTATGCGATACTTGGATGACTAAGTTGCACTTTGGTCACATGGTAAAGGAAAATGTTAATGAATTCCTCAACTTGAAAGAATCAAATTCACCGAGGAGAAGGAAAATAAACTACTACCCTTTTTGGATATTGAAGTAATGCGCTCTAAGGAGACACTCATGAGGAGATTATAGAGAAAGCATTTATATGAAGGAATAATCCTTAATTTTTAGACTCACCATAACTAGACTGAAGATCGGAATACTGAGGAGTTGTATCATCAGAAGCTTACGACTAAAGGGCAATGAATTCTGAGCCGAGGAGTTGGATAAACTGACATGGAAACGGTTACCCCAGAGAATTTATATGAAAAAATGTAGAGGTTATAAAGGGAAGATTTAAACCCTGATTTTATGGAAATCAGATCAGGAATCAGGACGACCAGAAGTAGATTTGCCTGCCCTCATCAGAACTGAGCCAACAATTGCGACCGTTATGAGGAAATAGAATATTAAGGTAATAAGAAAGGAGAAGAAACACTTTTCACCAGTCTGCCGACGCAACACGAGAAGACTGATAAACTTCGGCCTCACTTGTCTCTTTTACGAATAGTAGTATGGTGCTAAAAATGGCAAGAATTACTGAGGATGCCGGTGAAGCGTATGAAAATGTACCACGTCAATGGTCTGACTTTGGAAATTATCATGCATGCAATGGACTTCAGAAAAGGTGCGTTCTTTTAAGTCTTCCAACCAATATGATCAAGTTGCGAAAAAAGGATCAAACAACTTTTATATAACGAAAGGAGACTGCGACCACACAAAAGGCCACACCAACTTGGTCTTCATACAAAATATTTTAAGATTCTATCCTTACATTTGTGACTATGGGTCGAAATAGAACGAAGGACAAAACCAGCTTAGGTTGATTTACTATAAACATCTCTGCCTAACTTGCCATCTTCCCTAATAACCATAACATTCCAAAGAAATAATTACCTATTTTCTTCTAATTAAATCGTGAATCTAATATTTATTTTACGCCGGTTAAGGAAAAATATGGAATTATCTAAACCGTCTTTACCAGGCAGCTATATCACAAAATAGTTATCCATAAAACTAACAAAAATGTGAGATTCAAAATTACCTTCTGCATTAAGCGTTCCTCAAATTTTACAATATAATTATTCGCCAAAATAGGTGCTAAGAAGGAACCCACTGTAATTCCTTGCGTCTGTTTATAAAATCAAAAGTCAAAGATGAAATATGTATTACAATAAATATGTTAAGAAGCCTTAGAAAGGAAGCTACACTCAAATTAATTTCATCCGTAATCTCTTCGAGGGTGAGAATTAGAGACAGGATTCAATGGGCTTTGATGACACGAAGCTGACGTTAAGCTTTTTATAATAAATCTGAATTATGACCGATTTTACGTACTGACGTTAAAATGAAACACACAGGCACTCGAGTATAGGTGAACAAACCAAATCTTTCTATATCCAGCTCTCAATTTTTTTTCTTGCAATGTATATATATATATATATATATAAGAAAAAAGCCGGTCAGTCTTCTTAACTTAGTGTTAATCTAAGGCTTTTGCAAGAATAAGTCCAAGCACTTACAATGATTGCCATTTACGAACGAAATCTCAGTCCATCTCCATCCGAAACGTTAGAGGATGTCTCGTAGACTGCATCAACCTGAACGTGATATTAAGGCCAAATGGCTGCAGTACAACGCGAATTAGCTGGCGTATTCTGGTAAGACCAACCTACGGAACTCTTTATCATATACTTCCATACAATGAACGAATTTAACAGTTAGTTATAAAGATTTATTATCTAGCGAAGGTGTTTATCTAGCATTGAATCAAAAAAATTATAATCGAAACCAGGTAAAATATTCTGCAATGAATAGACCTTACATTCCAGAAAATAGACACAAAATTACATCTAATTGATAGTGCAAAAACATACAAAAAATTGGATTAGATTAATACTACACTATAGGTGAAAAATGCAGCGAAATAAAGCACAAAAACTTATTATACTCCAAAACATTAGATCAAAATATTTTTTTTAATTGGGATAAATATTTTAAGTTAATAATGCTTTTAACGAAGTTTAATTAGACATCAGAGGAAATATAGCTAAAAGATGATCTAAAAGAAATCGTAACATTTTCATATGCCTGGAACCTATAAAGTAATGCGATGCGAAGACGAGTGTAGATACTAATGGTAAGGTGGATTCATCAAGATAGCTAGGTCAGATGAGCATCACAAAACTCAGATATTTAAATCTGAAAATAATAGAACAAGCATCTGTCCTTATATTGTGAGATCAAACGACTGACTTCAGGAAATATTTTTGAAAGCTCAAGAATAGTTACACCTGGTATGGAGTGATCTGAATGAAAGGCAATTCATCTTAGCCAATCACGTCGTACTCTTTATGATCGAGTAAATACTGTTTGCTATTTAGGTAACATAAATAAGAAAAGCTAACCTGTAATCGATTTAACAACTGGCTCTTCAAGATCAACTAGAACTTCTGAGTCAGTATTGATGTGCATACGAACTCGTCGCTTTCGCTTCACTTGAACACTAGTAAGACAGTCAACATTGCAAGCTCCCTGCAAGCCGGAGGAACCTTCAGAGGTATGGCTACCTTGCTCCATGTGGCTTTTAGATGGGGAAGAAATGACGGCTTCTGATTTGTTAGCTGATTTATCAAGCTTTTCGCGCTTTCGACGGCGCTTGCTGGGTTGCCTACTACGAAGGGACCGATTTCGAGGAAAAGGGAATTTATCATTCAATGGACAGGTTCCACTAGCCACAGGGTAGGCAGTAGAGGCATCGGCATCGAGGTCAATGGAGTCACCCAAAAACAAGCCAGTGGCTGAAAGCCCAGCTTCTGCAGCAAATACTGCACTCGAATCTAGGTCAGGAAATGTGTCGTCGGCCCTCCCACTTGAAGAAGAAAAAGCCACTTGTGAGGGCCCGTCAAGGCGACGAGACATAGCGCTTCCAAGTTGATCTGACACTCCTGACATCTCATTTATTGCTTCGGCCACGGCCAGTCGCGTTCTTAAGTGAAAAACGGAGCAGATATTCAGTGAATAATACAAATAGATTAGTAAAAGACAACGATTAAATAAGCACGAAACAAACAATTGCAGGATTAATATAAAATTAAAAATAGTATGAAAAAGAGTATTTTAACTTTAATGTATTAAAAAAATGTAAACACATCGTAGAATAAAAAGATAGAGCCTTGGAATGCAATGTGGAAATGCATAATAATGCTGATCATAGAGAGGCTAAGCAAAGTAATTAGGAAGATAAGAACCTGAAAAGGTAGTATAGCGTAGCCCAATGTTTGAATGAAATCGTTAGGTGGATCTAGTTTGATCTGCTTGTCCCGACTTGGTCTTATACGACAATAATGCTGGAAAAAATCATAACTGTTATAGCAGACGATTTAGGGCTGGGTGCATTCTCCACCTAAAGCAGATTGCTAAAACGAGGATACCCTTATCTTCCATTTCCTTAATATCCTTGTGAAAAGAAATTTAACGAAGATGGGATTGTAACAAGGCAGTCAACGATAACTTTGCTTATTGCTTAAGCAAACTAGGAGAAAACAAGGATATGGTAAGCCAGCAAAAAGAAGGTGCTTGAATCAAAGATCTATGATCGATTACATGAAAAGATATCGCAAATAAGGGGATAAAGAATCTTCGGAAATCAAGGAGACGTTTTGAGTAAATTTAGTCCGCTCGAATAGACAAGTACAACTCTGGGGGCTGGCGGTCGCAACACTAAGGAAACGGATAATCATAACTGACAAATAAAGTTGGTATTAACCCAACTTTACTAGAATTCCATTCGAGGTGCAGTAAGCGAACAGAGATAGACGTCAACAGTCAGCTTATAGTACATGGGCTTAATCAATGTGATAGACTATGGAGACAATACCTGATATATGTAAGCATGAAAATCAGATACTAAGCTATCTGCCCGGTAAAGAGACAGTGTATGTGCCTCTAAAGATTGAGAAGTAGCGCCATATTAAAAAGAATTGGACTTGAATCGAATGAAACCAGTCAAATAGAAAGATAACAAATGGATCTAGGGGGACGAGGGAGATTCGAATAAGAGGTCCGAATCGGATCAGCAAATTGGGAGAGATCCACGGTCTAACGCTGGGAATTATCTTAACTAATATAAAAGAGAAATTAACACAAAGTGCGTCTAAGTCGCTCTGACATGACCAAGTCGCGAAAACAAGATCAGAACACTTGTAAAACACTGTTACTTTTAAAGTTAAAAGAAAAGAAAACTTAAAGAGAAAAAGTTTCTACGATTAACAGTGGATAACAATTATTTACTGGATTTCGACAACATATGATAAGACTATTTTTACAATTAGTAGTCATATGAAAAAGATAAAGTAGAAAACATATTTCCTATTAAGCCAAATATTTCGGGTAACTTGAATATGCTACTTGTTCTACTATCAGTCTCCATGACTATGCGAAATATTAAATATATATTAGGATAATCTTAAAATAATAGAAAAAATCAAATTATAGTATTGATACAAGAATCAGCAATCGCATTTTGTTGCGAACGAATTGCGATCCTAGCCCAGAGTCCATTGTATGCATGATAATTTCCAGTCGGACCAGTCGTTTCGCCGGCATCGCCAGTGAGCCTTGACATTCTTAAAACCACACTACAACTCGTCAGAGGCAAGGGAAGCCGATCATTTGACCAATTGTCTGCTAAACGATCGCGCTATCTCTTCTTCCTCTAAAGCTAGTCACTAATCCTATATTCTCACATCACACCTTTAATATCACAATTTTACTTGCATATTTTAATGTGGTATTGTGCGCACTTTTGAGCGGCTTTCATGAGAACTCATTATACTCTATGCTGGCTTTCTCACCCTCCTCGCTTCCCTCCACCCTTGTGCTCGGAATATTGATCAGTCCGACATATTGTTACGCAGTCATCCTTCCCCAGGTCTTATTATTTTCCATTTTGCCCCGTAATATCCATCTGCTATCTCCCTGGTTCTAGTATTTCACTCGACCCCTGCCACCCCATATGTACTACTCGGAGTTATTTCCCACACTTTGCCTCTGGGAGACTAACATAGGGCTAAAGCCCCTGAGTAATTCCCATGGTCAAGCCATTGTTTCATGGACCACCTATATGATAAAACGTCAGTCAACTAACTCGTCTCCGCCGCGTCTATCCTGTTTATATCCGTAATACCAAGTGTATGTTTTCCTATGCCATAGTCTCTTGTGTGCCAATTTACAAATGTTGTGGTTCAACATTGAAACCTAATTAAAGCAAGCAGTACCACAACATTGTGGGTTGGCACACAAGAGACTAGGGCATAGGAAGTCAACACTTTAAAGTGTAATGAAGAGGTTGTCTCGATTCGATCAATGTATGTAGGCGATAATAATATATAACTAAAACTAAAATATCAGCAAATCAGCCTAGGAATCAAAATCAAAATGTAAGATGCAATTATATGGATAATTCCAACGCGAAAAAAGGGTAAAAACCCGAATACATTATTCAGATTTTGAATAAAACAGTTGGTAAACATCACCATGGCCCGCTGCGAAAGCTAAGCACTGCACTCTGCTTCAGATGTACTTAGATAAACTTTTAAGGAGGGAATTCTTAAAAGAAAAAGGCAAGGCTAAATCTGTAGGATGAAAAAATAGCATGAGTAAAATTTAATAGAGGTTTGGAAGATGAGACCTGAGATCCTCTGCATCCATAGTATATTTTAGAGCCAATTGACGATAATCCTCTGCATCGGCCTCTAGGGCTTTCGATAAAACAGACGTTGAAATATTAGAAGTAGAATTCGCCACTTCCTCACCACTAAAAGTAAGTGATGGATCGCCATCTCGACTTCTTGAGTCAGCAGGGAGGAGTGTAGCATCCAGAAGACGCGCCTTGGCCATGATGTAATTGGTTGAATCTTGGCTGGCCATTAGTTGAGCATTCCGTTGCTTAAATTTTTTAAAAATCGATTGAAAAAACAGTAAGGAATAAATATAGCATCACCATTAAGCAATCGATTGCCTATCTTTTTTTTCAAATCCTTTGCAACATACTCAAGCCAAAAGAGACTCATAATAGTTAGCTCTTCCTCTATGCATATCACAGTGTACCCAGTTGGACAAAAGCTTGGATTTTAGTTGGCTAAAGCGAACGTAAAAATAAATCCACGATGAGTCAAGACAATATGTATATAATACTTAAAATTTAACTTATTCAAATTCAATAAAATATCTGAATTCAGCTCCTTCATAGTAATATTTAAGTATCATTCCCAATGAGTTTACAGCATAGAATGAGGGTTCAAGAAGACGAATTACCTTTAAAATATAAGATCCAAAAAGGTAGAATTTTGAGTACTAGCTAAGGTAATGGATATCAAGGGTGGATATT